AATCCATGTTTACTACTTACGTTCTTACTTACGTAAGTACATGAACATGTACTGAGGATGGTGACATTGGATTCTCGAGTAAGCAAATGTCTACACAAAGCCAAATCCAAACTGCGGTCAAGTCGCAACTGGACCATTTACGTGAATCGCTTAACAATGTTTTGTAAACTATGGGAAAGCCCAACAGTAAAGCGGTTAAAGGCAGCAAACCCCTCGCAACTACCCAATCCAATACAACATGGTATACGACTTACGATGATGATGATGAATGGTAGACTTCTATTTTATAATTACATTTTTCTAAAGAAGATATAACACGAGACGATTTCTTGTGTCTGTCTATGATTGTATGCAGGTCCTGATGAAGTATCCGGTTCAATTTTGTTGATGAAGTTTCGAACAATGGATGATATGCTTTGTCACTTTAAAAAAATTACGGTAAGTTGTCTAACCTGATTTTTTTGTAATTGGTATTATACTTAAAGAGTTCCGAAGACAACTTTCAATTCTGGGCTTGATTAACTAGCAGCAGCGTGATAGAGAAACCCTTGCTACATGAATCTAGTGCAATAGACTACATCGAACTAAATGTTCTTTTTAAGAATGGCAATCTGCAGTTTAACATAAAACGTAAGAATTTTTTGTTGCTCGACAACTCACATTAGCCAATTCAATAAGATAAGGCCAAAATCAATTGATCCGTCATTACCGGTACAGTATGTCACACAACTGACGGGTAAAAACATACATTTCTGACTTTTTATGTATTCCGTTTTTTGAATCGAGCTGTTGACTGTCATCATTCTTTTCATGATCGATTGAACTAAAAAAACGAGCTTCTTTAGATTCGTTGGCCTCTTAAGCAGTCTTACAAGTTATATAAACGGAGCTGTCCTTATATTTTTCAATGCTGGGCTTTCTGCATTCGTTCGTTATAATATTCTCTACGTTAGGCCTGCCTTCAACAGGACAGCTCATTAACCAAAGTGTTTAGCTGAATATTCGAGGATGACTCCTGCACAAACCAGCCCTTTAGCGTAAGGCCCTGGTTCCTGCCGGGAGAAGTACCCCCAAGTTTTATAATACATTATTGGTTTCTCGACTGGGAAAGTGCAGAAAAACTAGACACATTCTTCGTGCCGCAAGCTTCTGTTTGTGATCACACGTTCTATAATTACCAATACCAGTAGTACAAAAAAGTTAGCCATGATCCAGTGTTCGATCTGTTTTCAAATTGTTGCGTTCATGCGTCATTTCGCATTTTTACAAGCTTCAGGTCACTCACTACCTACTGGCTTATGCATATTTCCTGGACTGCGTTGTTAGCTGCAATTGTAGCACTCCTGCCATGGATCTCAAATGGCGTGGTGTCGACAGTCTCGGACATGACGACTGCTAACTTGCCGACAAAAACCCATATGCTAACTGATAAACCTGTAGGTGCCCCCGCCAGTAGGGTACTGAGAGAATCCGAAACAGATGAAACGAAAAGCGAAGAGAGGATGATGAATGC